TAAATAATAAAAATAAAAAATAATAAAATTGAATATTACATAATGCTCTAGAAAAGACAAAATTAAGAAGATAATAAAATGATAGGTGGTTGCCAATCATTGCGAGGTGGGAGAGATGAATCAGCAGACCACAGAGGATTTGTAGGACCATGAAACTATCTATCTCATGACATAGTAATGATGACTGCCTATCATGATATAACACAATTGTCCAAACCCATAGAATGCACAACACCTCCTCTGAAGAGAACCCTGATATAAACTGTAGATATATCAATATAGTTTCATGAATTGCAACACATACATTGCTCTGCTTGGGATGCTGACAGTGGGGAACATTGTGTTAGTAAGGGCATATGAGAAATCTCTGTACCTTCCTTTCAGTTTTACTGTGAATTTAAAACTGCTTTAAAAATTAGTATATAGCCAGGTATGGTGGTGCACTTGACTGGCAGAGGCAAGTGGATCTCTGTGAGATCAAGGCCAGCTGGTCTACATAGCTAGCTCCAGGCCAGTCGGGCTACAGGAAGACCCTGTCTCAAAAAAACCAACCAAACAAACAACAAAAAAGAATGGAAGGTGGCTATACCACCAACATAAGGGGCCAGGGAGACAGCTCAGCAGATAAGAGCATTTGCTACACAAGCATGAGGACCTGAGTTCAAATCCACAGCACTCAACATAAAAATCCCAGCATGGTTGCACACACACCTGTAATCCACACCTGTAATCTCCACACCTGTATGTGTGGAGACAGGAGGACCACTAGGGCTTGATGGTTACCAGCCTAACTCTAGGTTGAGTGAGAGACCCTGTCTCTTTTTTTTTCTTTTGTCTTTGAAACAGGGTCTCCTTGTAGCTCCAGCTGTCCTGGAACTCACTATGTAGACCAGGCTGGCCTTGAACTCACAGAGATCTGCCTGCCTCTGCCTCCCGAGTGCTGGGATTAAAGGCGTGCACCACCACACCTGACTTGTTAGAGTCTTTTTGTGACTGAAGCTGAAGTCAGTCTATCCTACCTCAGCCTCATAAATGCTGGATTATAAGTATGTCATCATTCTGAGATTGAAATGTAAGTTTTTTAGAGCTGGGCACAACATTGGCTATACAGAAATTTGATTTGTGCTTATAATAAACAAAACAAAACAGGGAACTGGGGAGATGGTTCAGCAGTTAAGAACACTGGCTGCTCCTGCAGAGAACCCAGGTTTGATTCCCAGTACCCACATGGTGGCTAGCAGCTGTTTGTAACTCCAGTTCCAGGAAATCTGATGCCCTCTTTTGACCTCTGTCAGCAATGCATGACATGGGTACACTTACACTCATAGACATAAAAAAAAACAACAGGGAGAACCAGGTACTATGGCACAAGTCTTTAATCCTAGCACTTGAGATGCAGAGGGAGAAAAATGAGTTTGAGACCAGCCTGGACTACGTCATGAAAAATTTGGTGTCAAAAAAGGGAAAAAAAAAAGAAAAAGAAAAGCTGAAGAATCGGGTGACCTGCAAAATAGCTCAGTAGTTAGAGCATATACTGCTCTTGCAGAGGACCTGCATTTGGTTCCCAATACACCTACACTATGCAGCTCAGAACTGCCTGTAATTCCAGCTCCAGAGAGAATCTGACATCTCTGGCCTCCACAGGCACTTGTACTCATGTACACATATTTACACACACACACACACACACAGAGAGAATTTAAAAATACATGCTTTTTGTTGAAAAAAAAAAAGAAGCTGGGGAGCTTGAGATATGGCTCAGTCGTTAAGAACACTTGCTGCTCTTACTGAGGACACTGGATAAGCTCCTAGAACCAACATAGGGCATCTCACAACTACCTGTAATTCCAATTCCAGGGGACCTAAAGTCCTTTTCTGGCCTCAGGTATTGCACTCATAAGGTGTACATACATATACTCAAGCACACAAATAAATAATAAATAATCAATAATTCAAAAAGAAGGGGGCCTGGAGCCACTTGCCTGGCCCAGATCCATGTCCATCCCTGATGCCAGTGCAACATATAAATCCTCCATATGCATGAGAATCTCCCCCTCAGCATTTCTCCAGTTGCTCCATCACACTGTTGCATAACTTTTACAATTGCTTTTAAAAGATTGTTATTTGAGGGGCTGGAGAGATGGCTCAGCAGTTAAGAGCACTGACTGCTCTTGAAGAGGACCTGGGTTCGATTCCCAGCACCCACATGGCGGCTATGAACTGTCCTTTACTCCAGTTCCAGGGGAATTTGAAACCCTTTTCTGACCTCCGCAGCATTGCATGACATGGGTGCACTCACATACATGCAGGTAATATACTCATACACACAAAATAAAAATAATAAAATAAAATATTCTTTAAAAAGACTTATTTGGGGGACATGGAGATGGCTCAGCAGGAAAAGGCCCTTGCCAACAAGTCTTAACAACCTGAGTGCCATCCTTGGGGCCCATATGGTAGAAAGAGAGAACTGGCTCCTAGAAGATGTCCTCTGACCTTCATGCCCATACCGTGACTCACAAGTGGCTACACATGTACACTGTTCTGCATTTGTTTTTGTTGTTGTTGTTCTTGTTTGGTACTTTTGAGACAGGGTCTCCCTGTAGCCCCAGTTGGCCTGGAACTCGCTATGTAGACCAGGCTGGCTTCAAACTCCCAGAGGTCCCATCTGCCTGCCTCTGCCTCCCGAGTACTGGGATTAAAGGCCACCATGCCTGGCTGCATAAAAACATTTTTCAAAAAAACAGGGGGCTGGAGAGAAGGCTAAGTGGTTAGGAGCACTGGTTGTTCTTGCAGAGGACTCAGGTTCAGCTCTCAGCACCCACAAGGTGGCTGACAGCAGTCCACAACTCCAATTCTAGGGGATCCAACGTCTTCTCCTGACCTCCATGGGCATTGCACGACATGAGTGCACTTACATACATGCAAGCATAACATTCATACACACAAAATAAAATAAAAAAAAATGTTTTGTCTTTTTTTTTGGTCTTTTTGAGACAGGGTCTCCCTGTAGCCCCAGCTGGTCTGGAACTCACTATGTAGACCAGGCTAGCCTTGAACTCACAGAGATCTGCCTGCCTCTGCCTCCCGAGTGCTGGGATTAAAGGCATGTGCCACCACACCCAGCTAATTTCTTGTCTTTTTTGAGACAGGGTCCCAGCTGACCTGAACTCACTATGTAGACCAAGTGCTGGGACTAAAGGCATGCGCCACCACCTCTGGCCCTAAGATTAAAATTTTAAAAAGAAAAAAATGGGCTGGAGAAATGGCTCAGCTGTTAAGAGCACTTGCTGCTCTTGCAGATGACCTGGGTTTAGTTCCCAACATCTGTATGGAAGCTAATAGTCTGTAACTCCAGTTCTAGGGGATCCACCATCTTCTGGTCTCTGTGGGCACTGCTTGTGATGCACTCAGGCACTTACATACACTCAGGCAAAACACTCACACACATAAAATACACATAAATAAAAATTTTAAAAACAATAACAGAAGGCTGGAGAGATGGCTCAGCAGTTAAGCGCACTGACTGCCCTTGCAGAGGACCTGGGTTCAGTTCCAGCACCCACATGACAGCTAACAGTTCAGGGGATCTGACACTCTCTTCTGTCCTCTGTGGGCACACATAGTACACTTACATTGCAGGCAAAACGTTGATACATATAAAATAAATAATTTTAAAAAGAATAAACAATTTTAAAATGTTGGGCTGGAGAGATTCCTTAGAGATTAAAAGCACTTGCTGCTCAATCATGAGGAATAGAGTTTGGATCCTAGCACCCAGGTGAAAAGTGGGCACCTCACAAATGCCTGTAATTCCAGCCCTGAGGGATCTTTCTTCTGGCCTCTGTGTGTGTGTGTGTGTGTGTGTGTGTGTGTGTGTGTGTGCACAAGTGCATAGACACACACATAAATGAATAAATAATTTTAAAATTGCAGCTGGGGCTGGAAAGATGGCTCAATCAAAAGCACTGGCTGCTGTTGCCGAGGGCCAAGGTTCAGTTCCCAGGACCAACGTGGGGGGGGGGGTTCACAATCACTTATAACTCCATTTCCAGAGCATCTGATGCCATCTTCTAGTCTCCACGAGCATTGAGTTCACAGGTGCACTTACATACATGAAGCAAAGCACTTGTACACACAAATTTTTTTAATCAAAAAAAAATCCCCAAACCAACAAAAAAAATCCCAGTTGTTAGCAAGAGCTACTGTGTAGCTGCCCTTTCCCCTCTTTTGGAGCAGGGAGGGCGGCTTTAATTCAACTCATCTCGGCAGATTAGTTCTAAGTTGTTTTCTCTCTCCTAAATAGGGAGATCGGAAAGCATTGTGTTTTGGTGACCAAAAATTTAATCTACACGAGGTGGGAAAGGAATTTGAACCCAAAGCAGCTCACCCCATTCCAGGCTCCCTGGACATATGTCTGATCACAGAGGCACCTTTGGAGGACGTGATAGAGCGCCTCAAGGTAAGTGCAATGTCATTCTTATTGAGAAAGTGACTGTGCACACTGTGAAAACAGAAGTGTGACCCAAGGAGGTCTTCTTCAAACTTCACACATGGCAGATCCCATCATGCCTATATACAATTATCTACTTTTCTTTTCATTGATGTCATTTTCATGTAACCAAATAGATTTTATAAAGGAAGTATTAGATGCCAGGCATAGTGGTGCACACCTTTAATCCCAGTGCTCAGGAGGCAGAGATAGGCAGATCTCTGTGAATTCTAGTCCAACCCGGTCTACACAGTGGGTTCCAGGCCAGGCAGGGCTACACAGTGAGACTCTATTCCCCCACTCAAAAAAACCCTTATATCTGGGCCAGAAAGATGGTTCAATGGGTAAAGGTGCTTACTTACCACATGAACCTGAGGACCTGCATTCGATCAAGTCCAATCCCTGGAATCCACATAAAGGGACCCACATGGTAGAAGGAGAGAACTGATTCCTGCAAGTTGTTCTCTGACCTGTACATGTGGGTCATGAAACATGTGTACTAACACACACACACACACACACACACACACACACACACATCATATATACCATAATAATAATAAAACAAAGTTTTAAAACTCTTTTATATCCATGCACTTAAGGGAGAAATGATATCTCCACCAAGTATATGACAAATCCATTTTATCTTGGAACAAAGAGAAACTAAAAACCAATAGCTGTAGGTCTGGGGATGCAGCTCCGTGGTAGAATGTTTGCCTAGCCCACAGGAAGCCTTGGGTTCAATTCCCAGACTATGAAGGAAAACTAAAAAGAGTATAGACTCAGACCCAAGCTCCTTGGGTTTGAATTCTGGCTAATATGAGGTACTATTACCGTTCCTATTTTACAGAAGAGGAAACTGAAGTTCGAGGTAGTTAGGTAAGATGCCCAAGGCTATACATCTTGAGTAAAGTAAGGGAAGAATGGCAAGAAATGAGATCAGAAACGTAGGGTTGTTCTATCTAAAGGAGTCTAAGTCACAATTAGGAATTAAATTTTTACTGGGGTTGTAGCTCAGTGGTAGAGCATTTGCCTAGCATGTGGGATGTCCTGGATTCAATCCACAATATGGAGGGGTGAGGAAGAAAAAAGATGGAATTTTCCAAGAATTAAATTTTGGTCTCACACATCCGTGACACATGACTTTTGTCTTCTCTGCTCACTTCAGGCTTGCAATGTCCCTATTGAGGAAGGTCCAGTCCCCAGAACAGGAGCAAAAGGGCCTATTATGTCCATCTACTTCCGAGATCCTGATAGAAATCTGATTGAGGTGTCCAACTACATCACCTCGTGATTGACATTGGCCTTCCTCCATCCTGTTCTCAAGATATCATCATCTCCCTTCTTTCCTGCGATCCTTGGCCCAGGCCCAAAGACCTCCCAGGACTGAGAACTTCAGCACATCACACGTTCTGTGAAGAGGGCCTAAAACAGGTTTTATTCAAACTTTTGTTTCTGGATGGCTTTCATCCAAGCTACTCCATCCAATAAATGACTCATATCTCCATCTAAGCTCATCATTCTTGTCTCGGCCTTATGTCTGGGTGCTTGGCTAGGGCATGACTTCTCCATATTTTCTGGAGGTCTGTGACTATGGTGTGGTGTCTCTGAGGACTAAATCCAGAGTCATCCTTTTGAGATTCAAGGCCCTTGACAGATTTCTCTTTGTCAATGACCCATCATCACTCTTTCCACTTTTCTTTTTATAATTTTTTTTTTGGTCTTGAGACAAGGTCTCCCTGTAGCCCCACCTGGCCTGAAACTCACTATGTAGACCAGGCTGGCCTCAAACTCACAGAGACCTTTCTGCCTCTGCCTCCCAAGTTCTGGGATTAAAAGGCATGTACCACCATACCTGACTTTTAAAAAAAAATTTTTTTTAAGATTTTATTTATTTATTTTTTCTAGTTTTTTAGACAGGGTCTCCCTGTAGCCCCAGCTGCCTGAAAGTTGCTATGTAGACCAGACTGACCTCAAACTCACAGAGATCTTCCTATCTCTGCCTCTTCCCAAGTGCTGAGATTAAAAGTGTGAATCACAACACCCGGCTATTTTATATTTTATTTATTTATTTATTTATTTATTTTTGTCTTTTTGAGACAGGGTCTCCCTGTAGTCCCAGCTGACCTGAACTCACTATGTAGATCAGGCTGGCCTTGAACTCACAACGATCCCCCTGCCTCTGCCTCCCGAGTGAGTGCTGGGATTAAAGGTGTGCGCCATCACGCCCGGGTATTTTATTATTTTTATTTTATGTATATGAGTGTATTGCCTACATGTGTGTAAGTGCGTAAGTGTCCTGCAATGCCCCCTGAGGTCAGAAGAGGGCGTCAGATCCCCTGGAACTGGAGTTATGGATGGTTGTTAGCCGTCATGTATGTGCTGGGAATTGAACCTGGGTCCTCTGCAAGAGCACATAGTGCTCTTAACCTCTAAGTCATATCTCTCCTGCCCTGTTTCCATTTTTCTAACCCATCTTATTACTCCAGATGTTTCCTTCATTTCATGAGCCTCATATGAACCCCAGGATCTCTACAGTTCCTATAAGACTATCCAGGAATATGCCAGAAAATGCTACCTCCTTCTGGAGATTTTTTTTCTGCTATCATTCCGGAGTATCTAGGATTTTCACCCTTTAGGTCTGGTAGATATAGACTCATCTCAATTGAGGCTCAGCGCTGGAGTGCGTGGAACAAGGTCAATTAGTTCCCCCCCTTCCTTCCTTCCTTCCTTTTCTTTTTCTTTCCCTGTCTCCTTCCCTTCTTCCCTCCCCCCTCCCTCCCTCTCTCTTCCCCCTCCTTCCCTTCCTTTCTTCTTTGAGACAGAGCTATATAAGTCAAGCTGGCTTCAAACTCAAGGCAATCCTCCTGCCTCAGCCTCCTGAGTGTTGGATGATGGGCATGAGTCACCACACCTACGGCAAGTTTCTTCTGCTTCTGCCTCCTCCATCATCACCATGCCATTCACTCATTTTGTCGACTAAAAAACATACCTTAAGCTTGGCGTGGTGGCACACGCCTTTAGTCCCAGCCCTCAGGAGGCAGAGGCAGGCGGATCTCTGTGAGTTCAAGGCCACCCTGGTCTACATAGTGAGTTCCAGGACAGCTGGGGCTACAGGGAGACCCTGTCTCAAAAAAGACATATATATATATATATATATCTTAAGCACATATTGTGCTAGTCCCTGTTCCAGGCATTGGTGAGACAGCTTTGAACAACAGATAAGGATATCTAACTGGGTGTGATGGTACACACGTGTAATCCCAGCACTCAGGAGGTAGAGACAGGAGGCTCACAAGTTCTAAGCCAGTCTGTCTATACAGCAAGTTCTAACCCAGTGAGCAGTTCTAACTCAGTGAGGGCTACATAGTGAGACCTTGTCTCAAAACAAAACAAAATCCTGTTTGTGCGTCCACCAATCTAGTAAGAAATAGAAAACAAGTAAAATTAGAATGAGAGATGTGACATAGCTGCTTCTGCTGGCTTGACATCATCATTGCCATCATAAAGCAGAGGAGCTGTGATGAACTATAGGCGACTCCATAGCCATGACAATGAAATAAATAGAACTACACAACAGATACCTTGGTCTTTGGTAATGTGGTTAATATTTTCCCTTGGAGAGGAGGAGGGAGGGTCACAAGATATTCATAAGACCCTCCCTCAGGGATTCCAATTTCCACTCCCTCCTGCCCCAACTGCAAGTAATTTTAGAAATGCTAAAGTATATAAAAGGTAAAGACTGACTGGTGGGGCAGGAGAGAAGGTTCAGTGGTTAAGGGCACTACAAAGGACCCAGGTTCAGTTCCTATCACCCACATGGCAGCTAATAACCATCTGTAACTCCAGTTCCAAGGGATTCAACGCCCTCTTCTGGCCTCCACTGGCATTGCATGCACATGGTACACTTACATACATGCAGGCAAGACATTAATAAGCATGATAAAATAAATAATTTTTTGGTCTTTTTGAGACAGGGTCTCCCTGTAGCCCCAGCTGGCCTGGAACTCGTTATGTAGACCAGGCTGTCCTAGAACTCACAGAAATCTGTCTGCTTCTGCCTCCAAAGTGCTGGGACTACAGGCATGTGTTACCACGCCCAGCTATAAATAAATTTTTTAAAAAACTGACTGGTGGTAGCACTTTTTGGTGGTGCAGTTGCCCATGAGCCATCCATGGTCCTGTAACATCCCCAAAGCTATTATTTCACCAAGCTGGACTTGATAGAATCTTTCTTTGGTCTGTTAGCTTCTTTGATATTTGTGGTGAACATATGTTTCTTTAACATCTCCCTAGAAAAGTCACAAAACAATTGGTGACCAAACAAAACAGAGACCTGACCAAAGCACAGATGAGTGGGAGATCATGGAGAATCCACCACATGAGTATGCCAATGCCCTGAAAACAGCAGATAACCAGAGAATGTATTACAATTCCTGAAAGGAACATATATGCAGGAGGACTGTAAGAAAGCTGTGGGGGCATGTGTGTGACTCCTGTTATGGGTGATAAGATGTGCAAATGAGGTTGAGCTGTTTTCACAGAGGAAATTTGCCCAAGTAGGAGGAATATGATGAGAAAAAGAAATGTGGATGCTATCCTACACATTACTCTCTGATTTGGGAGCAAAAGTGGGATAAAAATGAATGATGAAACAGAGGTGTTAGCTTTCATTTCTTTTTTTTACATTTAAAAAAAACGTTATTGAGAATTTCACACAAGCATATAAGGTGTTTTGATCAAATCCATACCCACTCCCTCCCCTCCAACATCTCCTATATCTCCCCATTACTTTTTTCTGACAACTCCATGAACTCTTTCTTTCTCTTTTTAATGGTGCTTTTTGCTACTCTAACATTCCCCCCTTTGAAGAGGTAGCCCTAAAACCGCTTAGGAATTATATAAAAGCTCCCAAATACTTTTGACACTTTTGGCCTCTGGAACAGAGTATGTTGCTATGATGCCCAAGGACATTTTGACTTTTAGCCAAGAAACTGGCTACTTTTCTTTGGGGTCTTTTTACCCTAACTGCCTAGCCAATTCCTACTCCCTATTCTTATCATGCCATCCTCTGAAGAGGTTACCCAAATTGCCAATAGGGAATGGGGATTCAGACTGCTCTGGCTTCTTCCACGCTGAACAGGGATGCAGGATGAGGCAATTGGAGTACCCCTTTAGTGGGTCTATCTAAAAGACTCACAAATTGCTTAACTCTTACCTGTAGGGAGAAAAGAAGGCCCTTGACTGGTGAAGAGGGGATGTGAAGGAGAAGTAAAGGCAAGAGTAGTTAGCATTACAAGTTCTAGACAGGGAACCAGAAAAAAGTCAGAACAGGGCAAATTTCAAATGTTCATATCAGACTCCATTGGGATTTCTTGACAAGAGCTTCCAAAACATCCCTCTATTGGGTTCCTCCTCATTTTTCTTTTTTCTGCCAAGGCTGGACTCGAGAGTGATGGAGCTTGCTATTTCTTACAGCTGGTGAGGTGTAAAGGAAGAGAATACAAAATAGTGTATTGAGCCATGCATGGTGGCACATACCTTTAATCCCAGCAGAGGCAGGCAGATCTCTGTAGTTCAAGACCAGCCTAGTCTACATAGTGAGTTCCAGGCCACCTGGGGCTAGAGGGAGACCCTGTCTCAAAAAGAAGACAAAAAATAAAATAGTTTATTGAAAAACCTCTCCTGGGATGGGGAGATGGATCTGTGAGTGAAAGCACTTGACACAGAAGTCTGGCTATCTGAGTTTGACCCTCAGGACCCACAATGGAAGCAGAGTACTGTCTCTCAAAAGTTGTCCTCTGACTCTCTCTCTCTCTCCCTCTCCTCTCTCATAAAATCATTTTTAATATTTTATTTTTATTTTATGTGTATGAGTGTATTACCTACACGTATGTAAGTGCACCTGTGTCATGTAATGCTTGTGGAGGTCAGTAGACGGCATTGAAAACTAGAGTTATGGACGGTTGTTAGCCACCGTGTAGGTGCTAGGAATTGAACCTGAGTCCTCTGCAAGAGCAGTCAGTGTTATTAACCACTGAGCCATCTCTCCAGCCCCATAAAATAAAATTTTTTAAAACACAAAAACTAGCCAGGTATGGTGGCGCACACCTGTAGAGGCAAGTGGATCTCGTGAGTTCAAGGCCAGCCTGGTCTACATAGTGAGTTCCAGGCCAGAGGGGTGGCTATAGGGAGACCCTGTTTCAAAAAGACTGAAAAACTCCACAAAAACTGCGGGGCATAGTGCTGCACACCTTTAACCTCAGCACCTGGGAGGCAGAGGCAAGCTGATCTTTATGAGTTCAAAGCCAGCCTAGTCTACATAGTGAGTTCCAGACCAGCTGGGCCAACAGGGAGACCCTGCCACAAAAAGACCAAAAAAATTTTTTAAAACAGTGAGTCAGGGCTGGAGAAACGGCTCAGTAGTTAAGAACACTGACTGTTCTTGCAGAAGACCTGGGTTTGAATCCCAGGGCCCATATGGCAGCTAACAACTGTCTGTAACTCCAGTTCCAAGGGA